CCATTTTTTTAATTCAAATTATTTGAATCTGTTGTTAAGATATTTGTACCATATTTGGATATAATATGACGTTAAATAAAAAAGTTAGGACAAAAGTCTACGAACTTTTTGAATGACCCTCGTATATAGAAAAAACGAACATTGTTCAAGATCAAAAGTCCAATAAACAATCAGGAGCATTTTATAAATATGGACCTCCAAAGCATTATGATCAGAGGTAGGATCATGTTACATTGAGGAGTGAGCATCCCCTGCCGACAAGTCACACCCGCCGTGTGCTCCTTGTCATGATTGGGAAAGTACGAAAACATCCTTTAACAACTCGATGTTTATACAATGACTTAACAATAAATATAAAAAAAACGTCAGTCAGCATATGACTTAATGTCAAATTGTACTTGCTGACACGGTTATTATATCGACCATAGAACTTACGAAATGGTGACTTTAAACGAGACTGCTGTTATTCTTAATGTTTAGGCAAATATTTGGCAATATCTTAATTGCCATTTTAGAAATTTCTCGTAGATGTTTTTGTGTGTATTGAATCAATTGAGGGATATAAACTCCATATGCAGGTGATAGAGGTAAATTGCTGCATAAGTAAGGGAAGTTTACAAAGGAAAAGTTTGTCATCACGTTATCATAGAGCTTGGTTATAAGATGTATTTCACCATTAATGTCTCTTTCACGTAAATATCTGAATATGAAACAGATGCGTCAGGGTACTAAGTTTGTGGTATATTTTATCTCACGCTTGCTGTGGTATACCGTATCGAAACAAGAATGGAAATAATCATAAGGGGTCCGTTTTACAAAAGAACTTACAACTGAGAACAAAATTTAATTCTGCTTAAAACTTTATTTTTTACATTAAATAGAAAATGGTTTTAATATTTTGAAAAGGTTTGTTGAAAGATACTTTTACTCTAGCAATTTTAAACAGAATAATTAATTTTGCAAAATTTTACAATCAACTGAAGTTTTTCGTCTTAGTCGTAAGTTCTTTTGTAAAACGGGACCAAGATTGTTATTGACAGTACGTCATGTATATATCTAAATGCTGAGTTGGAGGCCTGGTGTTTTCTTCTTTTCATGCATAAGATTTTGAACAAATTCTGCTTTTTATGAATATAAAATTAGGTTCGGCAATAACAGGGCGCAATTAGTACCCATGGGTATTCCAATAGACTGCTGTAAAATTGGTCTCAAAGGTCCATAGATATTGTCAATCAGAGTCTCTGGAATCTATTAAATATTAACTTCAGAGTAATTTAATGTGCAGTTGTACAATCAGACTGTTTTAACAAAATAAATATTGCAAATGAACAATTACAAGTCAGCAAATTTACGAGTTCCATTTTTATTAAGCGGTTAGCTTCGCTAACCGCTTTATGGCATGTGTCCGATTTTTATCGACACCGGAAACTTCCATAAGGCGCTACCTATCGACAACGGAAACTTCAACAAAGCCTCTACCTAGTACCTATGATTTGTTTCTAACACATATAACATATGTTAAATAAAATCAAGACTATCAAAACAACATAATCTTTCGGTTTTTTAATTTTTTTCTGATTTTGTTTGTCAATGAAATAAATTTATAATTGTTGTATTAAAAAAAGTTTATGTATAGGAGCATTTGGTGTCGAGATTAAATTTCCGTGACATCAGCTGATGGCGATCGGGCCCTGTGACGAAATTCGAAGTCAGCATGAAGTTTAGCTGATAACATTATCAACGCGTTAGATTTAAACTTTAGGAAGAAATGTATAGCGAGAAATATCATATTTGAACCCAATGTTACACGAAAACCAGTAGGCATTTCCGATTTATGTGTTAAATTGAAGCCTGAATCGAACAGGTGGTCAAAATGGCGTTGGACACCTTGTGTATTTATATATAGAGGGGGTAGAATGTTTCGATATTTAGCTAATTTAGAGACTTACTGATAAAAATTCAGGTGCCTGTGATTAATTATAAGGCACCCCTCATGAACAATAAATATTTGACCGAATTATGCTACTGGACACAGGGAGGACGGGTTAATTACTGGCTAAAGGGGTTGAAGGTTATTACCGACTGCAAAACATCGGAGAATCTCTCGATCGAGTTTCATTTTCCAAAATATTTAGGCATCCCTTTAATTAACTTAAGTAATACTAGTACACAAAGAAAACCTTTATATAAAAATACTGAATACATCTGTAAGTTGTACAGTTACATGTATGGATTACTTCCATAATGAAACGTTTGTTTTCTTCTCCTTTTTTTCTCAGTTGAAATTATTTAAAAGATGATTAAAGCTTTGTTTCCAGGGATAAATTTTGTACCCAGTCTAATTATTACAAACGATTTTAAACGATCACATTTTAAAAAAAAAAAAAAATAAAATGGGGGCCTGAAAATACTAAAATTAATTTTAAAAAATTGGAGAAAAAAATTTAATCGGCATTCGATCCTTTTCTAAAAATCAGTCGATATAAAATATGCACAGAAAAAAGAGGCATGAAAAATCTTGACGATAAGCACAAATTGAAAATTATATCTAATGAATGATTATTTTTGAAAGTTTGCTAAATTCCTATGCAAGGTATAAGTTGTAAAAATACTTTTTAAATTTGAATTTATCCAATTCGTTAATTATCATTTTGAGCCTTTGAGAAAAAATAAAAATAAAAATACAGATGCTTACAGACATATTGATAGAAATTCGCATACTTGTTTTTACTAAAAAAAAAAAACAATGTATTGCTTATGCGACATATTGAAGAAAGTGACAATGATACCTAGGTAATTCTTGCAATGGACAATGAAATTGTTTGTTATACACTGACTTCTAGTGAACCTTTGAATTTTTAAAATACTAGTAATGATGGATCAAACAACAACTTACCTTTTCACACGTTTTTTTTTTTTTTTTTTTTTTTTTTTTACAATATTTCATGAAAAATATTTGCCAAATACTCAGTATATGTTCGTTTATACATATCGTGCAAGACTCTTTTTTTAAATAATTGTCATATACCATTTACTTATTCGAACATTTGATTGTATGAAAAGTCAATAATGTACATTTCTTAAAACTTTATTATCTTGTTTACTTGTCTTTCTTCCTGTGAGAGAAATAGTTCATAATATTAATAAACAGATGTACTCAGTATCTGTATCAAAATACAGAATGAACAGTGATCGGTCTCAAAAGAAAAACGGATCCTTGAAAGTTCCGGTGCCTAGGAGAAGTAAGCATCCCCCATGACAGGTCACACCTGCTGACCCGCAGTGAGCCTACGAAACTGAAGCTCTCTGAAATTAATCAATTCTCTGCTCGTTCATCCGTTTTTCTCAGACTAGCCAGCTATAAGATCTATGTACAGTACTCCAAATCAATTAATCTAAAGAATTTGAATTATCATTTTATTTTCTTTTTGAGTTGTTTGCTATAGTAGCCTTTACAGTTACCTAATTTCAGAATCAATAGAGCATGAAAGCCAATTAAATAGGCAACATCAACATAATTTTTTTTTTGTTCTGAGCACTTTTGGACGCCACCAATGGAGACAATTAGGGAGAAATTTTTGAAATTGAACTTCCTGTCTTTCAAACTGAAAATCTCAGGTTGATATTTTGAAACAAAAATTTGTGACATCAGTCTGGGATGTTATTGGTTATACCATTTAGTTAAGCACTACAAAATTCAGTGTGTCTGCTTCTTCGCTGATGACACTGGAAAAAGATATGCATGCCTACTTTAATATCATGATTCAATGCATTTTTTGTTATTGTACACTGTACATATTCGATGAAAGCATGCTAACCGCTTTTCAGTACTTTCAGTACTTTGATTGAATGGGCAGTTGTCAGTAAAATCAAAAAGCTTAGACTCTAATGTATCGTGGGGAATGACTGTGTATGAAGTTGAAAAGTCGTAAGCTTTAATGCTGTTGATTTTGGGAAAATTCTATGATTAATTTCAATGCCATATTGAATTGCTCATTGGGGTATGAAGAAATGATTTGAAATGATAGAGGAAATTGCTTATTATATTTCAGTTTCAGGTTTCTGTTGAAATGATAGAAAGAAGTATATTATACACATATCCACAGGTTGTGAGTGGGGTAGCTCTTATATATATCACACCTGAGACAGGAAAATATTCCCCGAGGTCATGTTACTAAAATCGATATATAGCTACTTTAACATGTTTAAGAGTCAACGTAATTTCTCAGTAACATCAACCAATTGAAACGGAAACGGTTATTGTTTAGTTTCGTATAAACGTTAGACCTACGTTTTCACTTAATTCTTAAACACTAAAAAATATTAATTTTCAGATCATACAAGTAGTATGAAATTGCAAATTTACGGGGTCTGCTCTGAAGTAATACACGCTGTAATGGAGTGCTTTGATATCTCTCTGGAGACGGTGATTGGTACAGATTTCAGATGTGTGTCGTCTTATATATTGTAGTAAGACCTGAATAAGGCAAACAGTTGCGAAGAGCACAGAGCTGAGAATTTACAATAACCACAACATAAGACCTGAATAAGGCAGCTGGTTGGCTATAGAGAGAGGTGGCATACCACAGATAAAGGTGGGGGAAGTGCCAAGAGGCAGCACTATTGTGGAGTGGCAGGATAAGAAGATTTACTTACGGGAGACACCCGTTGACCACTGTTGGTGGTTGTCCAATCAAGTATTAATATTTTATTGTATTTGTATATATTTGATTGTAATTTTATTTGGTCAACAAAAACCTGAGTTATCAGGTTAACGAACCTGAGTGTAACGCCTGGTGATACAAGCCATTTGACAAAACACTAAGCTCGGCCGCGTTGCACGTTACACAATCATCGTATTCTACTTAATTTATAAATATATTTTTAAACTGAATTATATATCAAAAAGTGTGCATTAAAATTTAAAGACAATTTTCACGCCCCAACAGTGTGATATTACGACATTATATTGTGACGTCACTTTAAATAAATGTACTCACCAACAAATACATAAATGACTACTGGATATGTCAGAATCGGTAAACAGAACAGATTGTAAGCAAACTGTAGAACTTGATATCGCCCATAAGTTCCTAACGACCGTAAAATATTGTCTACATCCATTGTTATAAACTATTAAACCATATTGATGTGCCCCAGACTTTGATTTTATAAATATATTCAGCAACATGTCCGAGTTTGTGAGAGAGAATAAATTTAACAACAGCGTGTACAAGGTAGAGATTCTGTTGTGTCCTGTCTTATGGACAGTATTATAATAAACACCTTTACTCGGTTTTGACCTAGACTGGGATGACTTACGGACTGTGTTGAAATCAATTATATAATTATATTTTCCATTCAGATCTTATCAATGTATGGAGACTCGCACATCTCGTCTACAAGCTAAAATAATCCTACACGTTCATAAATTGAAGGAATACTGGGTTTTTTTTACGGATTTTCTTTTAAAATGAAGGAAGGCAATTGATTTATGAAAATGAGGTTTTTTCCTAAAAACTAAGGATTTTAAATCATACTAATCGAACAAATTTTTTAACCTTTCCGTCTTAGACCCATTACAGATTGTTGGTTGTTTTACGTCGCCTATGATATTTTTCATTCAAAAGAGGCATCGCCATCTACCTGGAATGGTGTCAAATTAAGGACATACGTAACATACCTTACCTACTGATAATTTTTCAAGATATTTTAAATCTAAACTCATAATACCATTACATGTTCTTAGACAAAAAATCAGCATGCGTTACCAGGGGTTTTGAAAAGATATCAAATTATGAAAAATTTTGCATTATTCAAAGAAAAATGTATAAAAATTACAAAACATAAATTCCAGATTTTTTTTTCATCAATATTTGTTTAAGAATGGGTGTAAAAATCCATACATAGACATTAAAAGTATTGCACACATGTCCTTCATTTAGTGGAACTCTTCAACTCCAGGTAAGATCCTAGTAAGGTCCAAACTACGTTGTGTATGACCTTAAGACCTATATGATAAGTGCCTTTAAGCAGTGAGGGTTTTTACTGTGCCAACCCCTACCCTGACTCAGTATTTAAGGCCTCGTATAGAGAGATTGTGTCATTCACTCAAAATGCTAAAGGGATGAAGAGCATTACGTATATTAAACAGCTATGGGAAAGTGAACAAAAATTGAACATAGTGTCCATGAACAAGCAAGAGTTCTACTACAACACTACTGCGCGCAATTTTCCTCCATATTAGGGAAATATTTTGTCCCACGTTTACCCCTTTATCCCGTGGATATACATGTAGCTCAAGTGGTATCGTTTTCATATCCCACAGTTGTAATGTCACAATGTTTTGCGTTAACGTAATGAAGTAAAATAAAGTGAAGTCCTATATGAAATAATGTGTATTACTGGTTGATTTGTATAAAACAAAATGTAAAACATAGGATAAAACGAATCTCACATAATTTGTAGTTGAATACGATTTTTATCCAAATCGTTGCGTGATTTTATCCCATTGCCAAGGCTGGAAGATATTAAAAAAAAAAAAAAAAAGAACTCGTTAGATAAAAATATCAAACTTCAATTCATTTGAAGTCCTGTATTTATTCATTTGTCTTTATTTTTATAGCTATATACCTTTTATTGATTAAGTCAGAGACAAGAAGTGAATCCTGGCATCTTTATTTTTAAACATGCATCCAAAGTTCCTATAATATGTCTGTTCCACATTTTCAAGTTCTTCAAGGATCAAAAACTGAATTCCAATTTCTTTGAAAACTTTCTCCATCATAATATCATGTCAGTGCAAATATAACAAACATTGGTACTACTTGTTCCAAACTTATAACATGTAATGTCAAATAAAAAATAAATCCATCAGCTATCAACATGTTTGTCATACATATACACATTTAAAAGAAAGAGAAAGTCTTCTGATAATTTCTTTATCTGTTACCCCTTAAAACATAACAAAATACTCTTTACATTAATTAATATAAGTGTATGTATTTCAAACTTGTAAATTTACTTGGTACCTTATGACAAAGAAAAAGTCCTTCATAACCATGATAATGAAGTACATCATTAATTATCATATCAGGTGTCAGAACCAGGGGGAGGGGGGCTAAGCCCCCTTTTTTGCTATTTTGCTAAAATAAACATATCAAAGGCATTGAAAATTGGGGATTAGTTCCTACAGGGTATTTTTGTTGGTCCCCCCCTTTCAATTTGCACATGTTTGTAAATGTCCATCTAGGGTGATAAATGAACAGCATTGATGAGAATTGGTGTATACAAGATTTTAAAGATAATCTGAGAAAACTGGACAATTTCATTCAATATGCATTGATCATCATTACTCATATTATGCAGAATTATTATCTGTGTTGAAATAATTACAAGATATGAAAAATCAATATGTTCCCAAACTCCGTTTGGGGAACATAATAAGAACATGGACTTAAAATGAAAGAAAATTTTCTTGCATTGAAAGATCATTTAAGGGCCACAGAAAAGCAGATGCTCTAGCATAGTTATGACAGGATGGTACTACAAAATACGAAATGCCATATTAATGTACATAAACTTTACAACATAAAGCAGAATATTTTTATGTATAATTAAGGATACTGCTACAACATAAAGCAGACGTTTTATATGTATCAAAGGAATACTGCATCGAATATCAATATCCAGTTATACAGCAAAACTTGTTTAGAACATGGATATAGCAAATATACGGTTATAGCGAAGTTATTTTGGATCCCCAGCTATATAAATTTAACGTATTCCTTATATGGATATAACAAATTACAGATATAGTGAAGTAAATTCATAGGTCCCCGTGACTTCGTTATAACCGAGTTTTACTGTACATCTGAAATGCACAAACTTAAACAAAGAAGTGAGATGAAATGCAATCTTAGAATGTGACAAGTCTTTTTTTTCTAAATGCGGGTGTTACAACTTTTTCTTCATGTTAGTAATTCAACAAAATGATGAACCTTGAATGAGAACAATAACATTTTTATCACTGACTTCCTTTGCCATATCTCAGGTGTCTGCAATAATGTTGTTAAAAAAAAACAGATATACAGAATTTCATGTAAATGATAAAGTGTACAACTGAGCAATATATTTACTTTAAAACCTATTGAGGACATTTGCATAAAGTGTTATAATCAATGGAAATGAATGATGAAATACTAGGTCTTGTGATTTACACATTGAACATGCACCTTCAAATGCAAGCAAAAAATTGGTGATATTTAAAAAGTGAGAAGTAGACATTGTTATCATAAAAAAATGTTTTATGATACTCTCATTTACAATTTCCTATGAATTGAACAAACATGATGAATATCTTTAAATAATGAAAAGTTCTGTCGTCCAATCAGATTTCACTGATATTCACCTCACAGCATTCAGCCAATGAAATTTAATCTTTCACACCCTTTCTCCACAAAACACTCTGTCAGGATATCCCATGATGCAACATCAACATATTCCATGATGCTACAATCACGTCCTGACTACTTCCTTTCCAGCCATGACTTGTTTTATTTCCTCCATATCCAGAGTTTCGTACTTCATTAAGTTTTCAGCAAGTTTCTTTAGTTTGTCTTTTTTATTTGTCAGAACTGTTTTGGCTCGACAATATGACTCCTGTTAAAATAAAATGACAATGAAATAAATAACTGCAAAACATTTGTCCAAAGTGATTGGCAAACAACTCCTTTTTCAATAATTTAATAACAAGGTATTCTTATTACTTTTAAAAATCTCAATAATATTCTACTACCTTTAAATAAATAATTCCAAGATTACAAGCCCTCTATACCTGTAGACAGGAATAGTGTTTGCTGTCTTACCTGTAAAAGTTGATTGACCTCGTCGTCAATTTCTTTCCTCATGTGAGAACTCAGTAACTGTAAGTCTTCTTCACTGTAAACACGGGCCCCAAGCTACAATACACAGAGATAGGTAAACTATCGTATGTAACTGCAGTCAGTGTAGTGACACAATACTTCAAACTAACTTTATATGTGTACAAGTGTGGGAAATATCCACAAGTTCTGTGAACTTTTTATTGGACCATGTTTATTTTTGCCCATTACCATTTAATTCATAGTGTATCTAAGTAAAATAATTCCTCGATCATGAGAAATTAGCTGTCAGAGATAAATTTCAAACTAACAAATCATGAATAAAAGTTGCTTTGAATAAAAGCCGATTTACAGCCATTTACTATAAAATATAATCCTGTACACCATCAGACATAACTTATCATAAATAACTTGTTGACATGCCGTACATTTCAAACTGACAAATCATGAATAAAAGTTTCTTCAAATAAAAGTCGATTTCCCTAAATTATATCATCCTATCCAGTACACCACGTGACATAACCTACCGACTCAGACATTCCGTACATCATCACCATACTCTTGGCTATCTTTGTCGCCTGACTGAAGTCGGAGGCAGCTCCTGTAGAACAGAAAAATAAAACCTCAGAATGGGCTACAGAACAATTTTTGTTATGTCACAATGATAACAGCTTATTATTTTTCATATCAAACTTCAATGACTATTTTTTTCCATGAAAAAGGTAAAGGTATAATGACCCTAACCTGTGGTGACTTTATCCGTTCCAAACATGATTTCCTCGGCTACACGTCCCCCCATCGCTATGTCCATCTGAGCCATCAGCTGGGCCCGACTGTGTGTATACTCCTCCTTCTCTGGCAGAAACTGGGTCTGTAAAAACACAGTTATAACGGGTCTGTAAAATCACAGATATTTTACAGTAAAACTCAGTAAAAACAAATGACAGAAACTGGGTCTGTATTATCAAAAAGTTATTATACAATATTTACATTCAGTGTAATTTTCTTTATGTTATGCATTAGAAATCTACGACATTCAAATCTCTATAACACATGTTAAACTGTGTCACTGCCCATTAGAATACACAGTAGGAACTTTATGCATTTTCAATACTCTAGGAACACCTAATTGCACAATGTTTTAGGCCATAATAAAAATATTCCTAGATTCTCATCCCCGCCCGCCCTGATTTTATACCCCCGCCTCGATTTTTTAAATTTCTGTTTTCTTCGTCCTAATTCTGATCCGGATAGGTATTCATCTACCATTCTGCTTTTGTTTTAAATCCTGCAAGAGTCAAAATAAGTTTGACAGCTGAAAAGATGGTAATTGCGGTAACACGTGTACATGTGTATATATTTTAAACAAGGGTCATTGGTTAAAAAAGATTGGTAATGATGTGAAGTAAGAGATGATTGAACCTTTTACTGTGACTTTTATTCGAGTATTGTAAATAAACTTACACCGATTGACCAGATCAATAAAAAATCTGCAAAATTGAAAAAATTAAAAAAATATAAAATAAAAGCCGACCGCCCGCCTCGACTTTCAAAAAAAATTTGGATGAGAATCTAGCAATTTATTTATTAATGGCCTTAACTCAATTCGATAAAGAAAATAACCCTGTTAAAAAGATGCAAAAATACTATAAATACACGTTTTAAAATATGTTGTCATTTTTTTTCCTCGCACTGTTTGTTTGCATTATTTATCTTTACATTGTCACTAACAGATCTTGCGTCTTTTAAACAAAACAGATTTGAAGGATGCTAATTCTCACTAAAGATAAGGGAAATAAAAAATTATGAAGAGGGAAAATTAGAGAATGTAAATATAAGCATTGAATTCATATTTTGGGACATCTTCAGTCCAATAACACGTCTGGCCCTGACAACAAATTATCATACCGTGCTATGACTTTATTATATATTGTAAATTTGAAAAATTAACAAATTATACTTATAATAAAGCAAAATTGTGCATTGCTGGCACTTCGTTAAATCATGTTTTACTGTGTTAAAGATTAGGGAGGAGGATAACTTACATGACCCAGGGCCTGTCCACGTTTATGGTAGCTTTATACACTAGAGAGGACGAACTCTTACTTACATGACCTAACGCCTGTCCACGCTTCATTATGGTAGCTTTATACACCAGAGAGGACGAGGTCTTGGACTCTAGCCCCACTATAGCATGACCAGCCTCATGAATCGCTGTCACCCAGTTAGCCTCCTCATCGGGGGTCCGCGTCTTTTTTTCAGCACCTGTAAAGAAAATTCACACAAGAAAAATAAATATCTTTGACCTTTTCTCAACACAGAAGTGACATCTTTTAAAGAGATCCATTCAGTGCTAATTATGCTACTATCTCATCCCATACACACAGTGTGGTCAATAATCACTGATATAGTCACTTTTTTTCTTCAGAGTAAATATAGTTGTTAGCCCTTACAGAAAACAATATAATTATTGAATCTTTACACGTGTAACTGGAAGATTTGTCTATAAATGTACACAACTCATTTCTATTAAGTCCACAATATATTGACAGCCACATACATACACATGTAGCTTACAGGAGAGATGTAACTATGAACATTTTTTTTCCTTTGCCCACTCTGCCTTACTCATCAGTAACCTTCTTTCGGCTTACCCATAAGTATCTTATCCTTGGCCCACTCTAGGTGACTCATACACACAATGTTGGCTCCGTCTTTTGCCGCCTTCAGTGCCGCCTGGTTCACCAAGTTACTGATGTCGGCACCTAAATAAACAAAGTCTTAAAGTCTCAAAAAAAAAAAAATGCAATCTGATGAAATGTTTTCAGATGCAACTCTCAACAAATCTAATAAAATCTAATAAAAGCTTGTTTTCATACTGATTTAATTCATAAAGGAGGAAGAATCATTACAAAAATGAAAATCAAGTCATAAGCTATTATTGATAAAATGTGACCAGTACAGTTTTAGATAATTATGTTAAAAAAAATATTTACCTGTTAAACCAACAACACCTTTTGCTAAATTCTCCACATTTATAGCTGAAAGTGAGAGGAAATATAAAGTTATATTGTACATATACATGTATAAAACCTGTCTTGTAAAACAGCCCTTTAAAAATTTAGAAATGAATTGTTTTACATACAGCTGAACTCTGGTATCATTCCAAGTTCTCTTTCTTTAAGTATTTTACCCTCAATATTCCTTGGATATTTAAGTTTCTTATCAGTCCCATGGAGTTCATGATAATGAAATGTATATAAATATAGTTCGCCAGAGCTCATTTTTACCTATTACTGTAAACCAACTTTTATTCGCGACGCGATTTACCAGGGACAAACTAGTTCGCGACGTTTAATTTTCGCGATCAAGCCTTTTTTCATATGTTTGTAATAGACAAATATACTATAAGGACCGGTTCGCGGCGAGAAATATTCGCGATGACGAGGCTCTCGCGAACTTCGCGAAAATTTCTCGCACGCGAATAAAAGTTGGTTTACAGTAAACAGGTACAATTGAACAGATTGATCCCTCAATACTTACTTGGGTCACTCCTGACTTTGCCCAGATAAAGCTTGAACAGTTTCTCTCGTCCTTTCTGGTCTGGTCCCTCTACAGAAATGTGCATGTCAAAACGTCCAGGCCGGAGCATGGCTCTGTGATAAATACAAGGATTAGAACACTGTGAAATTCTGGTTCCTTAATTCTCTATTGCATATTCCATTTTTCAAAGTTGCACACAGAAAAACATCCCTACGACATACTTTGAAAGTATTGAAATTTGTTTTGTAGCCTTCTTATGACTCAGGGTAAAATTATGGCAAGTGGGAAAAATTTTTTCAAAGAAATTTCAACATATTTATTGATGACATAAGAGGAATAAAAAGAGAAAAAATATCTTGTTTTGGAAATTTAAAAAAAAAGGTTTTAGTCAGGTCATTTCTAGACAGTCGGGAGAGGGCAGCCAAACAATTTATAAAAGATGGCCTTGGATATAACATTTTACATTATGATTGACATTCTACATCTGACATAAACTTACGGATCAATGACATCTTTTCTGTTTGTGGCTCCAATCAAAATGATTCCTGATGACTGCTCAAAGCTAAAATAAACAACAATATGAACCCAAAGTATTTCAGATCTTACATTTATCATGTCTGAAAAAAATCAAACTACCATAAATTCTTAAACATCGATTTGAGGAATTAATTATTACGCAATCTCACAGGAAATATCAATTACAGCAAAATAAAATAACTTGATTTCATTTTCATGGTTCTGAATAATGTTAAATCTTTATACCAATTGTCCACTCATGAATTATAATTATTGCTCCTGTGATATGTTTAAAGGTTATTTTGCAATATTAAGTACTTTGTAACATAAGAAATCTACAGTAGGAGTGGTCCGTACCCGTCTAATTCTGTCAATAGCTGGTTTATACACTGATTGGCCGCAGGGTGTACAAAAGGACTAGAGGTTCGCTTAGCAGCCAAACTGTCAATCTCATCAATAAACACAATACAGGGGGCGTTCCTCTTAGCCGTCACTGAAATCAAAACAGATACGTCATCACTGATTATCTATGAAGCTTATACCTAATGCTAGTTAATATTAGTTACACAGTCAGTTAGTGACTGTGAACTAATACGGATTCATACAGGGTGTGAAATGGAAATCCGTATTGGGCAAGCAAAGCCGAGTCCCAATATGGATTTCCATTTCACTTCCTGTAGAAAAAATAATTGTGCATATTATGAAAATATTAAGTTTTATTCCAATAACAGTCAACATAAAATATCCTTACGGTAACAAGAAATTTAACTAAACTACCTACGCAAACCGTTTCTTAGCCGCCATTTTTATTTACAAAAGCAACACTTCGAACGGAATCACGTGCCCAATTTTCACATTATTCCTTGACAGAGACGTAATATGGAAAATTGCAGGGCGTCACGTGATTAGCTTTTATCCAATCAGCAATCTACAGATTTGTCTGAAGCGGGATAATGTTGTTTACAATGGATTTGTGATGATTCAGCCCAACCATCCTTTTTGTATTTGCAATTATAAATAACATACAGGTTATTTTTTTTTTTGTTTTAAATTCACAAATCTATAGAATGAAGGGTATTGCTTACCAAATAGCTCTCTGACTCTCTTAGCTCCCACACCCACAAAAACCTCCTCAAACTCTGACCCTGCAGCAAAAATAAACGGCACTCCAGCCTCCCCTGAAAAGGAAACATCACATCAGAAATCAATTTTACCCCAAAACTTTCATAAAATGTGATTCAACATGAGATAAAGGTTTTACATGAAAGGTTCCAATACTGTTAATATTGACTGCAATGAATTCATCCTTACCTGCTACGGCTCTGGCTAACAGAGTTTTCCCCACGCCCGGAGGCCCGTCCAATAAAATTCCTATAAAAAATACAACAAATCATCACTTCAGAGACAAGAAGGAGTCAAGTATCTGTTTATCTACAACTCACTTCATGTGTCTTTCTGTCCTATTAGGCAATTTTTCAGTTTGCTGTTTTAAAGAAGATTTTATTGTTTTTCTATATTTTCCTATGTAAAACTTTGATCACCCATCCAGGTTGATATGTTTATTTGAAATTGATCATGCTTGTTACCTTTACCTTTTTGAACTCAAGGATTTGTGGATCAAACATTGTTTATTTGAGATTGATAACTGTTCATTACCTTCATTTTTTCCATCAAATAAAGTTTTGTGCATCAAACAAATGTTTACCTTTTGGTATCTTGGCACTGACTTCTGTAAAACTTCTGGGATTTTGCAGGAATTTAACCACATCCATCATGTCTTCTTTGGCTTCATCCATCTGTACAATATTTGGTAATTTATGAATATGATAATATATGCAGATTTTATGATAATTCATGCAGAATTTACGAAAATTTAGAAATATTTTTGCATATCGAGTTATTTCCTCTTGGATTTAATATTTTTTATTAGTCATTTATCAATTAATTATATATCTAAGAAGGCAGACCTTGAAGTATTGACATCTTAACTTACTCCCTGCACATCCTCAAATTTTTCTTTGATGCTTTCCTTGTCTACAATGGTGAATGTCTTGGTGTTGTTCAACAACTTTGCTACAAACAAAAGGAAAAATTTAATCATCATGCATAACTTACCATTATGGCTTGTGAGGACTGTTTATCTCTTTTTCTTCACGAGAACTTAATTTTGGGGTAATAACCCTGGACAGTGTGTTAGCATAAATTCATTTTCATGCTTATTAGACTTTTGTTTTTTAAAAAG